GAAAAAAAAACATTAAGCCGATTTGCGTAGTGAGCTAGTATTATAATAGGTCGCTAAAACTTATTTTCTAATTTAGTGCTTAATAATTTACGTATTTAGTAAATATTACACATAAGTAAATAGGGTAGTTGCAAAAGTATTCGTACCAAAGCTAAGCAGACCATCGTTACTTCGGTCAAAATTGAATGAATGTGGCGAGTTATTTGTTAAGGCCTATGACACATTAACTATTTTATTGTGTTCAAAATTAATTTATAGTGTTAGCTGTTATTGTTTGTGTTCATCTTTTAAAACTGCCCACATTAATGTAGAAGCATGTAGCTCTGTCCGCGCAATCAAGCAATATTTAATCTCAGGAGTGAAGGTGAGGCAAATCCCGATAATGAATTACAGACCTTTCAAGCAGGGCGTTATGTCCATTACTATATGTAATACGATAATATAATTAGGTAGTGTTTCTTTATTTAGTATATTATATATTTAGGTATTAATTTGTTTGTAATAATATAAGTAGTGTTGCACATACGCATAATGCAACGTATATATACATGCACATACGTACATACTCCTATATACACACATATAGATATATACACAAATATATGTATATACATAAGTTATCTTGTCTCATATCTATAATCATACTGTGTATAAGTAATTATATTGTATTATCTCTATACAACTATTTTATTGTAGATATTATTATTAAGGTTGTATGTGTACTTCATATATTATGTAGATTAGAGATTTGTGATTATTAAGTTATTATGAAAAATCCTTTAAAATGTGGCTTTTTAGCAATTTCTTAAAAGTGGATAGGGATTTTGTTTCTTTAACGTTTTTAGGTAATTTGTTGTAGTGTTGAGCTGTTGAGCTCCCTCATAAAGAACACTCCTTTTTCCATAGTTTGTTCTATATGATCTCAAACATAGGTTATTAGCCTGCCTTGTCGTACGTTTATGATAATCTATCTTTTTTGTAAATATTATTTGAGAGTGAGTAGCATTAGTAAGTATTTTCCTAATAAAAATGCATATTTTATATTTGTACGTTTAGACTAGATTAAGTAATTTGGTTTCTTTATATATTGAGTGGTAGGTATTAAGTATTTATGTTGGAATAATATTTTTATGATTTTATTTTGTGTAACTTGTAGTTTTTGCAACGTTGATTTAGTAGCTGAGCCCCATACCTCAATCAAATAATCTAAATGAGGCTTAACTAAAGAGTTATATATATCGGGAGACATCGAACTATAGTTTTTAAAGCTCCTGTTAATGAGTAGATTTTACTATGGATCTTCTCAATATGTTGTTTCCAGGTAAGTCGACCGTCAAGAACAAGGCCTAAATATTTCTCGTTGTTAACTTTGGTTAATATATCACCATAAGAGGATTGTGACTTTCAATTTTTCTATTTTTTGGACTGAAGATTACGTATTTTGTTTTTGAGGCTTTGATTGTTAGTAAGTTTGACTGTAGACAGGCTGTGTGTAATATGTGTAAGTCTTGCTGGGCTTCACTTAGTACTGATTCTAACGAGTGACCAAAGTAAAGGCTTATAAAGTGATATCTCCCTTTAGTCCAATTTCATATACGTTGTTTACATAAATAAGGAACAAAAGGGGTCCCAATATTGATCCCTGTGGAATGTCACAAATAACCGGTTGGGGGCTGCTTTGCTGATTATTAATTTTGACAACTTAAAATCTATCAGAAAGATACGATTTAAAAATGTCAAATGCTTTTCCTGTGATACCTATGTCTTTTAGTTTTAATAATAGGATGTCATGTCTGACTGTGTCAAAAGCCTTTTTTAGGTCAATAAATATACCTAATGTAATGTTTTTCTGATCAATATTAAGTCTTATATTGGTTACTAAATCAAGTTGCAGATACAATGTTAGACTTTGGGCGGAAGCCATATTGCTTTTTATTGAGGTAATCAATAGAAGTCAGGTAGTCATATAGTCGTTTATGTAGTATTTTTCAAATAATTTCGACATTACTGGAAGTACCGATATTGGTCGGTAATTGTTTGGGTCTTGTTTGCTTCCGGCTTTAAAAATAGGACTAACTTTTGCAGTTTTTAGGCTATTTGGAAAATAGCCATCACTTAAACATTTATTAATACAAATAGCGAGGTTTTCTACTATATTGTCTTTAATATACTTTAAGGATTTTGAGTTCATGCCATCTAAACCGGAACTAGCGTTAGAATCTAAGTCTTTTATTATTTTCAGTACCTCGTCTGCGGTCGTTGGCTTTAATTTTGATAAATCAGTGTTGTTGTTTTTAGGTTTGTTGTATGACAGTGTTTGTGTAAAGTTTTTATGATATTTTTGCGGTATTTTATTTGCAAGTTCAGGGCCTATAGTGACGAAAAATCTGTTAAAATACTCACAAATTTCTTTAATATTTGAGATTTGACCATTGGGGGTATTTATTTTTAAATACCTTGGGTCTGCCAGATCCGATTTATTATTTGACAGTCTATTAATTAGTGACCACATTTTTAAAGGACATTTATTACAATCTGTAAAAGCCTTATGATAAAATTGTTTTTTAGCTGTTTGGATATTTCCAAACGTAAGGTTTCTTTGTTTTATAAATTCTGTTCTCAAAAAAAAAATTCATATAAAATAACCTAAAACTGGCTGCATTATAATTTTTAATGTTATTGAAAACTGTAAGAAGTAAATATTTTATGAAGAAAACGACATGTGCATTACTAGATTACTACCACCTACAACTTAACTTTTTCATGTGGGCAGGGAGGCTCTTTTTACTTATTACTTTCGCTTATTGTTTATTTGGTAGTTATTGTAGGCCTCATTCAAAATATTCATACAATCGTATAGTCTCATACTCATACAGTTTCATTCGAGGTACTCTCGGTTTACGCGGCCGTTACCATCTTAGCACGGACTTGGCATGTAAAGGTAAATTGTATTATTTTCAAAATCTTTTTCCAATACCACTCCCTATAAATCTGATTTGAAAATAAATCTATCAGTTGCTATGTTCCTATTTGGGCCCATTTTTAGTCGTTATAACGATCAAATCGCGAACTCACTTATTATGCTTATTATTAAGGAAGATCACGTACCTATTGGAACAGGCACGCACTTGGTCAGTTATTTATAGTTTTCTATTAGGTAGCGATAACGATTATAGAAAGTCAACTTAGTTAACCCCGCCAAAAATAAAAGCCCTAGAAAGCTATTTACTCCTTAATGTACACCAAAATACAGAAAGAGTAGAGGACAATTTAAAGTATATGTACGTACATACAGCAGGCGATTTTCATCGATCTGAAAGTGATCTCTTTCAGGCAACCTCAACGCTTATATTATATATTCCATGGTATAGGAATAATGTAAGCAATGTTTAAATCAGAGGGGTGTATAAAATAGATGTAAATGTAGGTTGTTTCTAGTTAGGTAACTTTTAATTTTACATTTTTTTATAATACGACCCCAACTTAGAGATCAACCTGATGGTAAGTGGTTACTACAGGACATGGACACCTGCATAATACAGCATGGCCTTGTGGTTACGTGGCAGAGCCACGCTGCAGCTATGTGGTTCTTGAATAATATATAGGTAGGTAGTATTATTATATAACACAAATGGATCGGCTGTACAAGAGAACGACCACTTTCTTACAAAATATCTGAATCTGCTGTTCTGTACAGTAACCACACATCAACATTTTGTTACTTAATCAAAATTGATACCATCAGGTGGACTGTGTACATATTTAACTCCCTTATACTATAAAACAAACTTCCAATAAACTAAGGATGCATTGACACTAAGATAAAACGAAATGTCTCATCCAACAGAATATCACTACCATCGTGCCTTAGAGATTGTAATAAATATTCTGGCTCTCAATACCCTTCCAACTGAAACATGGCTGTGCAGAGACGGGAGACATGGCAGCAGAAATAGGCAAGGATGGATCTAACCAGAAGACTGAAATCCTACCATAAAACAATCATAAGTTAAAATTTTAATAGGGTTTGGTAATGAAATAATTTGTCATTTTGAATTCTTTTATTAGATATTTAACAGTAATTATAAGTAATAAGTTTTTTTTACTTAATGAATATAATGTCGAATTGTCACTACATGGATATCATAATAATTTGAAGTCTTTGAAATGTAATTTACAGTAAAATTCTATTTCAAAAACAAATTAAATGCAATTGTCAGTTCGCAGTTTCTTGACAAATTTCTCTATTAGCTGTAGAACAACAGGTTTAACAAACCTGCCGTTTTTAACTTTCTAGTCTTTTATTAGCCTAATTATTGTAGAAAGTTGTAACATGGCTACTAGATTTTACACTGGCACATAGGTTTTCTTTCAGCTAGCTATGGAATATTTTGTCATGAAACCTAAAACTTACAATCACTGTTCTACAATCACAATATGTACATGAGTAAAAATATTTACAACTCTTGTTAAATTAATTACATAAGCATCAAAGTCACAAACACTCATGGTTCCCTCGTACTAAAACGCACGAAGACCACCCCCGACACAATTATGCTTAACACACCTGTTTCACTAACACCAGGCATGATGTATACACAACCATAAACAGTTTCACTACTCATACATCAAAGTCAAGCAAAAACACTAATCAAGGTTAAGCACACATTGCATCGACATGGTATAAGTACTGCATTGATATTTCATAATCAAAAAGGAGCATAACAAATATCTCTTCTCACCATGCCACTTAACCCTGAATGGAACTTAAACTTACGTTGGCATAATGAGTAATGTTCCTACAAAATTTAAATATTAGTAGGAATGCCCCATCATAACATTTGAGCATATAAACAAGTGTGATTCCAACATTACTCCGAAACAAATGTATGGAGCTAACAGAACCCACATATACACTAAACATGTCCTAATGAGATGTCCAACAATTTCTAAACTGCAACTTCAGTTTGGTAATGTGTCCATGAGTATTTCCTTTACACCTGTACTTAAACGGTCGGGGAATTTGATGTCAAAGGCAACAAGCAGGTCGCCTTTCCTTGTTGGCTCCTTCGGGAATGGTAAGCCATATCCTGGGAACCGCTTTACTGTATGTGGTTTGACTATTTCACCTTGGAGGTTCACTGTTAACTTCTCACCAGACATTGTTGGTACTTCAATGATTGTGCCACACAGAGCCTGTGAACAAAGAAATAAATATTAGTTAGAAAACAATTTCTACCACATTGCTTATGATAAATTCAATTAACTACTTCATATGGCAATATGACGACTATCCTCCCATGAGAAGTCCATGTCCAGCAGTAGACTTATGCTGTAATGATGATAATTGATAACAATACTTTTCTTTATTGTGTCAAATTACTGATGTGAAAGTTTATTGACCTATTGATATTTTGAACTAAGAATTCAAGAAAAGAAAAGAAGAAATTAAGAAGAGTAAAATATGATTAAAAAATCCTAAATTACTTACTTGTTTGAGTGAAATTTTTGCTGTATATCTGATGTCGCTGCCTTCTCTTTTAAAGAGTGGATTCGGTTTGTCTCTAATGATGAACACAATGTCGGCAGGGATCTTATTCCTGCCCTGGTCGCCTTCCTTTTGGAATGTGATCTTGGTGCCAGCCTTCCATCCGGGTTTGACATGGATCGTCAGGACCTTATCTTCTTTTTTAGATGTACCATCTGGCTGCATGACACGACGGGATATCTTCATCTTTTTCACGCAACCGCGCGCAATGTCTTCTAGGGATACATAGAGGTCATGTTCAATTGGTGGATCCTGGGTCTTATCTTTTCGGTTTGGTGAACCATGGAAGTTGAAACTCTGGCTACGGAACGCGCCACCGGGCCCGCCTTGTCGCGCTTGTCCCATTCCCATGTTTGCAAACGGATCCATATCGACATCCATATCCCGATCGAAGAACATCGTAGTGCCACCAGTGCTACCACCATTGAGATCAAAGAAAGCCTGGAAGGGGCTGGCAGAACCGAAGAACTGTGCAAATGTGGCCCGTGGGTCTCCGTGGAAGGTGTATGAGTAAGATTGTCCACCACCCGGTCCATTTTGACCGCCCATTCCTCCTTTCAGACCTTCCTCGCCGTGCGCATCATAGATTTCCCTCTTTTTCTTATCTGACAATACTTCATACGCTTCCGCAACTTCTTTAAACCTTTCTTCTGCGCCTGCTGCTTTGTTCTTGTCAGGATGGTACTTTAGCGCTAACTTACGGTACGCCTTTTTTATTTCATCGTCTGAAGCGCCTTTTGACAGGCCTAGTATTTTGTAGTAATCTTTACCCATTGTCGATTCAACCTGTAACAAAGAAAGCACCTCTGTTAGCTTCTGTACACTGACACCATTTTAGGAGACGTAAAGCGATGAGCCACGCAATCGCAATCCTATTCTACTACTGTTGTTTAATAATTTCGACATTAAGACTTACAAAATTGACGTGAAAATAGAATATATAGATATTTAACGAATACTTACAATTACACGTTCAATGAAAATCCAGAAGAAACTAGTATAAAATACTTATAAAAATTGTTCACACACAACACAACTCACAACTTCACACTATCTACTTCACAAATGAATGAAACGCAGCGCCGTCGTCGCGCTAAAATATATACATTAAAACGTCTAGAACATTCTGGGGCCTTCACTTGGTGTGTAAGCGAGATAAAATATTGAGCGTTCGGCAAGATAACGTATGAGATAGATAGAGATGCATATAATTTTGACTGTTCAAACTTAGAAAATTAATGGGTTCATGACTTCAGCTTTACGTAGTAACTAAATACAGCATGTTTCCCTTTCCCAACAATTATCATTATCATTTTATATGAATAATATGTAAAGCGAATTGAATATAATATTCAAGTGAATAATATATTCAATTCGCTCGTTAAATATTGTTCATCTACTTTTTACTTTGAGCTTTATTACTCAGTTGAAAGAAAGATGTATTTCCGTGCATATTTTTATCAAAGATTAATATAATTACATATGTACCTTTTGTAAAAACTGATTTCTTAATATTATTTAAAATGAAATAAGTAATTTATTACTCATTTTGAACAGATGCACCTCAATATCTAATGTTTAATAAAATTTCGAGCTCTAGAAAAGAAAACGGAATAATATTAAACGTAATGAATAATATTTATACTACATTATTTTAAATTACTGTTGCAAATAATAATAACAAACTTTCGATTGAATTTTAATATTATGATTTGAAATGAAACTAAATATATTTACTGTGTTCAATTTTAACTTTTTAATTCCCGACGTTTACCTCAAATTTCACCTTCTTCTCGAGAAATTATATCAGTCAGATACATTAAAATTTAGTTGTAATTTTAAAACTTATAAAATTTTATACATTTACTCAAAAGAAGTATGTAAATAACTTTTTTTTACAGTCATGTATCCCTTTTTATTCAACAGAATAAAAAGGGATACATGACTTTACTGATTTATTATGCATAAATTACTATATTAATTACTATATTCTGCATAAAATACTATTGACTAATTCAATAAATTAAATGACCCGTTGTAAAATTTAAAACATGCTTTAGTTCATTTATGACGTTTACGGAATATGTTGTCGCATTTTTACACCACAATCCACAACCTATATACCACCACATAGATTTACAGAACGCAGAAAAATTTAATACCGAAATAAATATACATGAAACTATAAAAGTTGTTTTTAAAACCCTTCAAAAGTTTAAATGAATTATGTGAATTTGATAACACGTGAGTTCGATAAAATGAGATGTGGGTCAGGCACTATAGCGTCGCGTTCACGTGTTTTTATTCTAGATAGTGGTTCTATTGCAAAAATATCAAGTTCTTAGAGCTCGAATCGAAAGGCGCGGTCGACTGAAATATGTACGATAAAGATAATAAGCCTGGTTCCAATTTCTAAAAATTTTCAAACCTATTATGTGTCGTTTCGAATATGTGTAACTTTCAACAAAAGAAATGATAAGAATTATAACGCCCTACGGCGTGAGTGCGAAAAAATAGTAATATAAACAAAAAGAGGAAAGTAAGTATAAGAAAAAAAAAGGAACCTTATTTTCCTTCTAGTTTTAGGCTGTTCTGTGCTTCACAGCTAATTTGGACTGGAAGGACTTGGACAGAGTTCAAGCATTGAATGCTTTGTATGAGGTACCGAGGTACCTAATAAAAATGAACTCCGAAGTGTTTATTTACATATTGTTATCACAAATCTTTAAATAAGTAACCAAAAACCGAATCTATTCTTTTTATGTAAGCAAGAGTGTAAAGAGTGTGCTCGCAGTCCACCTGATGGCACAGAATAAATAATAGTACTACGTCCTGATGGTAAGTGAATGCTGTGGCCCTCAGACATAATATCTATCTTCAACTACGATGAAATGCTTCCTTACCGGTAAAAAATGTTTGCGATTGTCTTTATTCACCATATGAAACAGAACAATTAATTAGGTAGGTATGTTACAATTTTACGCTACTTTGATTACCTATATACCTACCTGTCTATATAATCAAAGTTACGCTAGTAACAAGCAAGCATGGTACTTTCCCGGTAGAGTCGACCCTTTCATGCTGCACATTTTTTAAAGTCTATAAAAATTTGGTACCTATAGCGTATTACTATTATTTTATTCTGTGCCTACAGCATATAAAGTATGTTTAGCATAAGCATAAGTAATGATTACTTATGCTAAACATATTTTACAGTACAGTCATAGTGATTAAATAGCTATTATACTACCTAACTTAAATGTCTTTGACTATAAATAAGCCAGACAAATTGAAATATAATACCATAGGAGAACCAGTTTCAGTTGCCTAGAAGTACAATGAAATAATATACAATTATTGTAAGTGTAACTGATGTAGTAGGTAGGCCTACCTAAAACCACCATATAAATGCTTTCAACCATTTTATGTCTTCAAAGAGATCAACACATACAAAAATCGCGAAGCAGAAAAAAAGAGATTCCCATTTTTTGTTTATATTATTAGTACCTAGGTACTTACTTACTTTATTTTATGCATAGGTAGATTAAAACATAAGTGCATAACCTATTAAGTAAGTACTTACCAATTACATATAATTTTTGTGTTAGGTTTTCTTTTTTATGAACAGTATATTTTTTTGTGAAATATATTTATTAAAAAAAAAAAAAGATAACGATAGGTACCTAACTTGACGTAACTATTCGATTTTTCACATCTTATCTGGTACGTTGTCCTATTTTCACGACCTATATGTATGTGTAAGATAAAATATAAAAAAAAAACTATTATTGTTTTACTGTATTGTTAACAAGTGATGTTAGAAATAAGAAAGGCAAGCGTTGCTTTTTCGTAACATGAATTATTATTGAGTAAATTTCTTCTGTACGCCTGCCCATTTTTGAAAGCAAAGAATACGTAATGTAGCAAGCAAACAAAGAGCATAACAACCAAGCTATTTAAAAAAAATTAAGCAAAAAAGCAATAAAATCCGTTAAAAATTATTCCTAATCACAAGAAATCGTTAACAAAGTAATAAATAAGCAAAAAAATATGAATGTTCGTGACGGTTCTAAATTCTAAAGAGCTTTTCATTTTCATTTTTGCATTTATCGGTGGATGACTAGCGCAAAGAGCAATCTCAGTGTAGTTATGATACTTGAAATAATAGTATGTACATGGTAGAATAGTATTAGATGGTAGGACTTTTTTTCTGTCTTACAGTCCGTCTGGATACGCCCTCAGATTGTGAGAGATTCCATCTTAGTCCTCATAGATACAAAATCAGAACACATTTGTAGCTTTATATGTTTGAAGTTGGCCGAAGGTGTCCACTGACTGAAATAACTACTTATCATGATGTGTAGCTACCAGTAAGTACTGTAAGTTCGTTTACATTCTATTTTTGAATGAATGATAAAATGGGAAGTATGAAGTTAACGTTTTAATGGTCCAGTTAAATTTAAGCCTTTTTTTACACAAACATTTTGACATTATAAATTTAAAAAATCATGACATTCTTCTATTGTTTGATTTTCAAATGTTTAATTAATAAAATCAAGCGTTACGTAGCGGAAATCCATTACTTTAAAAAATAATTTAAATTTTTTAAAGGAACGTGTTTTAGGCTCTAGGAGATAATCGTTTAACATTACTATTACCCTTTAGTCTTTTAGTAGTTTAGTATTATTTAGTCTTTACGTGGTGTAATTTACTACCTATAACTTTTTAAGATCCGGTGTAACTAACATCAGTTGTCAATTGAGAAGAATTTCGAACAATGGTGCCGAAGCTCTCGGAGGAACAATCGTGACTCGTCAATTAATCTTGGCCATTATAACCTACTCCATGATCACGCAAATGCGCACTGCTCAACAAACCGATTTTATATTAGGTACAAATAACATTCAATAACAAGGTTTATTACTATAATTAAAAAAAACCTTAATCTTCAAACTTAAACTCCCCGCGGGGTAGTGCCAAAAACGCTGTCTGCATTTACTCGCAGAATAGAGTGCTATACTTAACTTTTGGGCGAGAAAAGAACCAACCCTCTTATCTCCAAAAGCGGCGACCAATCGCGGATACAGTTACCCGAAGAACGTCACCGCAATAGTCGATAACAAATGGCACAAATATTTAGTTAACTATCAGAGATATTAACGCTACTTTCTTAGTTTAGCTGCCTCTAATGTCACCCCAGTTTCCACAGTGTCTACGCAAGTAGCATCACACACTAGTGCTTTACATCTCTCCCAAGGGACCAAAGACATACCGTCGGGTCTTCTGCCATCGGCGAAACAAGAGGTCTTTGGGTAACATCGTTTAAAGATCCACAACTGTTCTTATATGAAAGGCCGTGGCGTCCAAACTCGTTGACGCTGATACCATACTACAAAAGAACTGATGAGGTTGACAAATCACCGTTCCCTGTCAGATTTATATCGCATTGCTGAAAAAAGTTGTCGGCTATTACAAATTGACATCATATATCATCCTCCGTACTCGCCAGATCTAATCCCATTCGGTTACCATGTTTTACGGAATTTGGAGAGTTTCATGCAAGAAAAAAAAATACGTACCTATTTATGATAGGATTTGTGAAAAGTAAACGAAAAATATTAATTACGTACATTGCTAGTAGGTAATTACTCTGAATCAAAACGCTATCCGCCATATTAAATTCCGTCTTGACGTCACTTCGATAGTAAATAGCTAATGTGCTATGTATTATTTTGAAAATTTTCAAGTTATCATCATGATTGTTGATTTTATTCCGTTTTTTATTAAAATGGCATCGTGGAAAACGGAATCGTAGAAGCAGAAAGTGCTAATTTACCAAGGATAAATACATTGATGGTGGAATATACATGCAATCCCGATTTTTGTTCTGCCGAGTTGAGAAATGTTAAAACATCAATGTAAGTACCTATTACCTACCAACTTTTGTTTGTATAACAGTCTATAACATAATTCCGGATATGTAAATTATTTAAATGTGTAATATTCTCAACGTATAGTGTGTAAAATAAAAAATAAAGAAGGATAATTTTGGTTTAATTTAACGTCCTTTTTATTTTATCAACTTAGATTATTTACTCTAATCGTAGTACGAGAGTAAATAATCTAAGTTTATCAATATGCACCGGTTTCCTACCGATTGGTCTTTTTTTAAAATTCTTGTGGACTAACTAGCGTTCCATCCAAGTTTCACAAGGTTGATTTCTGGATCTCAATAACAACATCACCTACCGGATGCTAAATGTAAATCTAAACCATCTAGAGACCCATTCAAAAATACACAAAAAATTTAATCAAAGCAGGGCGTCCGTTTTCGAGTTTTAGCGACTAACGGACAGCAATACAGTGTACATATATATATATATATATATATATCAAGTGTGAGAAATTTCACTGTATAACTCAGCAAGATTGGCACACATAACTCAGACGCACAGTTATAGACTAAAGCGGGCTACATACGACATGATATCGGTGGCGATCTAGGGTGGAGTAGTGGGGATGCCTCCTAGATTGCCTCTAAATCGTGTCGTATGTAGGGCCATCCTAAGTCGTGGCCGATATCGCCTCCTTAATCGGCTGGCAGGAGCAAAAGTGCAGCCGATGCTTCCTAGATCGGGGCCCCGCCCCCTCCGTACTGCGTGTGTGTAGGCGCATCGGCCCGATTTCTTTTGACAGTCGCTGCCGGCAGCCCTCGCGGAAGGACGTTAACGAAACAGTGATACTGAATGACCTTTTTACATAACAAAATTTTTACATTTTAATCATGTGAACGGAGTAGAAGCCTATGGCACTGATATTTTACAAAAAAAAAAAAAAAAAAAATTGAATAAAACAAATAAATTAATTAAAATCTATAGAAATTCAAATCATATCCACCCTAGCCTGTGACCCTGCGAAGTGACATGGTCAAGAATGCCTACTAAACTAATTGTTTTATTGCCGTTCGTAAAGTAGGGTGTATGAAGTAAGTAAGGAGAAGATAAAGCCTCTCCTCAACAACTAACTCCTATTCCCACGCTATCTCCACAAGACCGCACTCAGATCTCTTACGTGCCTTCATCCTCTCATCAACAACTAACTCTTATCCCTTCAGCATCCCCACTTTAACAAACATGCTATATAGGAAGGAGTATGTCCGAAATTAAAGGTTTCTTTATGTAAAAAAATAGCATAATAGCATAAACACTCACGCCTGTCACCCAGAGGGGTAGGCAGAGACCACGGACTTCCATTTGACACGATCCTGACATACCTCTTTCGCCTCCTTTACATCCATATATCTACGCATACATGCTCGTCGGTTAAGGGTACTTTTAACGTGGCCCATTTTCAAAATATCGCCAATTTGGTCGATAAACTTTTTTCTAGGGCGTTCCTTCCCGACTCTGCCGTTCACATCTGCCATATAAATTTGTTTTGTCACTCTTTCCTCATTCATTCTTTCTACATGACCAAACCACCGAAGCATTCCTTTCTTAATCCTGGTCACAACATCATCTTGCAAAATAGATATAAGCTATTTTATTTTTTGATAGTTTTAGTCCATAAATAAAGATTACATTAAAAAAGTATACATATTAGGGTAGGGCGGGGCTTAAAGGTCCAATTTGACTATTTCGAATAATACTGTGAAAACTGACTCTACTATATCAAAATAAATAACACTAATCAAACAAACAGTTATCTGAGTATGTTTGACTCAATTTTCAGTTGAATTATTATAATAGAAATATGTGTTTCTACAACTTTTTTAGACCGTGTCGTCTGTCCCTTTTTGCCCCATAGTAGGGGTAAAAAGGGACAGGCAGGAGGCAAAAAGGTCCAGTATTTAATTTTTATTTAAAATCGATTTTATGGAACTAAAACAATATTTGGTTCAATAAAATTCAGTCGTTTATTTTTATTCCAAAAACAAAAAGTTAAAAATATTTTAATTTTTAAACAAACCAAAAACTTTATTATAATTCCAAGATACATATTATTTAAAAACCTCTATTCTAAAAGAAAATATTTTTTACGGAACAAAATTTATTTTTTTCTAAATGTATTACAACAGTAACAGTCGAACTAATAATTTCTAACTTTGTTGAGCTTATAATAGTTTAATCACTAATCAGTCTCTATTGAAGAATACAATTAAACAAGACAGCACTATCCATTATGAATGTTGACATAGTCTGAATTTAAAATCTTACAACTAATCTTACATAATCTTTTAAAAACTTTTAACAAACAATTTTTTATAAAACAATAAATACTTCTTTAACCGTAACACAAAAATTAAACTCTTCTTTAATTACTAACTTTAACAAATTAACATAATCAACATATCTTGGTATCTCTATATTATCTTAATCAGACTCATCGTTTTCTGAATCACAGTTAATACAAACAAAGTAAATGCTACCTACCTCTGTTTGAGATACACTTTTCATGGGCCCATTGTTTGCAAAGATTGCATTGAATCCAACCTTCGCCTGGAACACTGTCACTGTACTTCTCGCAGCAAATCAAACAGAAGCATTCATCGTCAGAGCTGGAATCACTATTAACCTCTTGTAAAATAGCTTTTTTACTTTCTCAACTCCTTTAGCGGCTTTGCTTTTCTTGTTTACACCTTTAGCCTTTTTCTTACTCAAGGTTTCTTGTTCTTTACGTAGATTTTCTTTTTCTGATTTGTCCGTCAAAATAGCAGTTTTTCGGCGCTTCCTATAAATAGTTGACTTTTGTGGTCCGGCTTTAGGTAGTGGTCGCACGATTTCGGGGGAAAAACATTCGTGTGGATCAACTGATGTTGATATCTGTGCATCATATGATGATGACTGCGGATCTAACGGTGTTGAAGGTTGTGGATTAGACAATATTGTTGGCGGAGGAGTGGACGATGTCGAAGGCTGTGGCTCATTACTAACAGTTTCCATAGAACGGTCCGTTACGTAACTAGATGCAAAATCAGCGTCATTAAATTTATGTTGGTTGAAGGGAAATATGCCAGTTTTTTCGAATCCACTCATTATGTTACTCGGTGTCAAAGCTAAAGGTAAAGAAGTGCGGACGATCCCAGGGATATCGTATATGGTCATGGTTTTTCCAGCGTTATTCCGCATCCAAGCATCTTGAGCTGAAGACAGATATCTTTTAAAAGGGCCATATACCGACACGTCAAGTGGCTGTAATTTGTGAGAACAGTGTGGAGGGAAAGAGAGCATGACCACTCCATTTTCTTTAGCTAAATCTAGTGTTGGTACGGATAAGTGCGAAGAATGGTTGTCTAAAACCAACAGAATAGGAAATTCTTTAGAAGGTCTAACGTGCTTGATAAAATGCTGCATAAATAGGAAAAACTCGTCATTAGTGATCCAACCGCTAGAATTCCCAGCATCAATGCAATCAGTAGGATCGTCCCGAATGAAATGATCTTGAAACTTTTTGCGAGGGAAGTAGCAGAAACCGCTACTAACAGTGTTACATTAGTTCCACGTTCACCGGATGTTATTGATCCAACATTTCGCTTTCCTTTAGCAGCAACTATTTTTAATGGTTTGGTGACGGTGGATACACCAGTTTCATCCGCATTCCATATGGAAGAAGCTGTAAATTTGAATCGATCCACGACAGCTAATTTAGTGTAAAACTCTTACACATTAGACTTATTGAAAGACGTAGCTCTGCTGAGGCTAGTCGCTTCAGGTTTTCTTATGGAAAGACTTGTATTACGTTTGAGAAAGGCAGACATCCAATCTCTACCGGCCATTTTATTTGTATGCCATGTTGACGGTACCTACACTTATTTTATATTTAATGGCACAGTCATAAGCCATGCGACGAACTTCTTTAGGACCTATGCCGTGAAAAATTTGTGCAAGTTTGAGCAAGTATTCTGTGAGACTGGCTTCTTGTTCGTTATTAAATATCTGCCGTGGAGAACCATAGCCAAATCTCAAGTTAAGAGGGTCATTCTTCATTCGCTTAATAAATCTTGACAGTGAAGTTTTACTTAATTCATAGTCACGACATACCTGCCTCAATGATTTATTTTCATTGATAACTAAATCTGTTGCCCGTAGCATCAACTCAACAGATTTAGTACCACGATCAGATTTTCTTTTATAGTTGCGCATACTGAAACAAAAAAAGTCTTTATTAACCCACATATTAATGAGGGGCTAAAAGGTCCACATTGGACCTTTTTGCCCCAACCACGTGTAAATATTTTTAGAGGTTATAACGAAATAACCGTTAAACCGAGCCTAAAACTAATAATAAATCGTGAAAAACAAATAAATCACTTATACTAATAAATTATGTTTAGGTGTGATTAACGAAAAACCACTGCTCGAAACTAAAAAGTAAAATGATGAAAAAATTTACTTACGTTAAAATTTTTAGATGTAGTCGTATATCTCCGACTAGCGACGCTGCTCGACTGCCGGCGATGCCCCGTTATGCCTCCCGCGCTCTCTTCAATCCGCGTACATAGTTAGAACGCACGATATACCGCTAGTTTTTTAGATACTTATGGTGGACCTTTATACCCGCGGACCTTTAAGCCCCGCCCTACCCTATTATAGAAAAGTATTTTATTTCTTTGTTTGTTGTCTGTAGTACATAACCCGATTTTGACCAAAGCAGAAATGAACAAAGAGAAGAAATAACTAAATAGCATAGGTAGGGGAAATTGATGTTTTTGTATAAGTGGCGAAATAATTTCTAGAAGGTTGTAAAAACTGTCTTCATCCATTCGGAGAAAATTAATCATGTCTTTGGATTACACACCATTAGTACGTTTATGGGGCTTAATTTTTGTCTTTTTTGGAGTCATTTTTTCACCCAGCAACTCCTCTTTTTCTATTTTCGAATAAATTAAACGAGAGGGCTAATACCAAACCAACACGTTGGTATTTTAAGAGAGCCGGAGGCATTTTGAAGAACTCTACCGCATATGCGTTCCGCTCCAAGTCCGAACGCGTACTGCTAGGCAGGCTCGTGTGTAGGGTCTGCCCCGATAAAAGCCCCGATTTCTTTCCACCCTAGATCGCCACCGATATCGTCTCGTATGTAGCCCGCTTTAGAATATACTGGTGTGTATTTTTTACCATGCTCTATGGCGCCTTGACGCATCACCATTTAATGTATTCAGCACATGATGAACAATTAATTGTGAACAAATACGTCTGAATAGGCTGTATGGCAGTAAATCCCTATCTGTGTACATAAAAAAAAACGACTCCTAAATCAAAGTGCTGTCAATCGGCGGCCAACCAATATATTTTACCCTATCCCCGGTAGTGAAACTATACAAAAAATCTACGTTACAACTTGTAACATTTTCTTGTAACTTGCAAGAAAACGTGACTTTTTTTCAAGACCGTACTAAATTTTTCCACTACGTCGATAAAGAAGTTTCCCTTCAATTTTTTACATATTAGTTGGTATTTAGGGTAGGTACTATACATAAAACTAATGATTTTTGAAAATTTTTACCACTGTTCCTAGATCCTAAATCTATGCTCAGATCACTATGACAAAAAATGTTGTAATAGCCTGCTTATTGGCAGAGGAAGAAGAAAATAAAATTCGAAGAAAAAGGTGATTCTGGATTCACAATATTATTTAATAAAGGCATTAGTATGTAGATTATTACACTTTATTTAAAGAAATATTAGATGATGATGAACAATTTTTCAGATATTTGCATTTAACATACAAGACATTTGAAGAATTGCTACATATGCTAGAACCATATTTCTCTATGTAAAACTCAAGATTAGAAGTCCAATTAAACTAGAGGAAAGACTTGTTGTACGTTTGAGGTAAGTATTTTTCATTGATGGTTAAATAATCAGGTGTAACTGGGTTTTTCAAATAAAAGTTAATTATCTTTTTTTATTATGTTTACATAATCTGTCACTAAGCATTGAGCTATTATGTACTACGTACTAGAGGCGACACTGCATTCAGCTACTCTGTTCCACTCAACTGCGGTGCATACACCGCACTTTAATTAGTCACTCGCTAGACGCTTGTCGAGCTGTCACGTGTTGTATTGATTTAAAAAAATCTCTTGATAAAAATATGCCGTCGTGTGTACTTAGATATTGTACAAATAATTCAAGAAATGTCAGTAAAAACCAAAGAATTACTTTTCATCGGTTAATAAGATACTTAATCAATAAAAAAAAGTATTAGATTAATAATAAAACAAATTATTCCTAAGACGCCGTCTCCTGTCATGGAATATAGATTATGAAATTAATACAAATATGTTCAGATGCGACATTTCTGTGGGTACTTAAGTATAGAATGAATATATTATCATACACATTTTTTTGTAGAAACATATGTAAGTTATTATAATTAGGCTAAATTTTTCATGTTTAAATCTGCTTATTATTCTTTAATTTTATTTTTTGGTTTCCACATCAAAGTAAAAGTGGAATAAATTCGTCCTTGTTTAACTCTCGCGTGCCCAGCATTAATGAACGACTCTTATTCTAATTTTAATAAATATATTTGTAATTTAAAGGTTATGTTAATAAGTTTTGTTAAACATAAATTCAGTATGTTTTTTATATTTGACATAGATACATTTTAAAATATTTAGATAAAAATATCAATAAAATGTAATTGTGGTATAATATTATGTAATATTATATTAAATAAGCAAATTTAATATACAAAATAAATGACAAAATTTAAATATTGTTCTCGGTATAATTTACCACTTAACAATACAATCTACTATTACCTACGGGTCATTCTAACTATGTTTATTCTATGATAAAAAAAAACAACCGCGCGAACAAAGAGCAGCGCACATTTTTTGTTTGAGATAGCTGTTCTAGTACGTCAGTACATAATACTTCAATGTCACTAAGTATTCATTTTGATAATCGATGCAATTTTTTTCGAATTATATACAATTGATTACGAATTTAAAAGTTATAAAAGTCTTGTCTGACGACTCATTGTTGCCTATACAGTAAAAGTATATACTCCTGAAATGAGGTCAATATATATTTCGAATTTTCGAAACTAAAGTTGAAACCAACAGTTTTAAGTTTAAGTTGTTGTTAAGCTTAAGTTGGCAACATTAGACAACACTAGAGTATCAGCACCATGGAGGTTAGAGAACAGGAAAACGATCGCCGCAGAAAATAGTGTCCCAGAAATATGGACACCGTAAGTGAGGCGCTGCGATCGCTAAGTTCGCTCAACAAAATTCATTTTCAGTCTATTTTTCCCATCAGATGCTAAACCTCTTGCACATCTACGCACAATAAAATATTTTTCCATTTTTTAATGTTTCTTTTTGTCAAAATTACGAAATTACGGAGCATGAAAATTTTCTAACTTTATTCTTCAACTAACTTCATCTACTTGTACTCATAAACAGCTAACTTCGCAATCACTACTCACTCACAAATTTTCAAGGAAAGGCGGGCTATGCTTTCGTACGCAGCGATCGTTCTCCTGTTCTTTAACCTCCATGATCAGCACTGTACTCTGTGTCTGTGTTCAGCACGGCACGTGCCGAACACAGACACAGAGTACAGTGCTGATGAAGTTACCCATATAAGTACGATCACCTTTTTTATATAACGGTCTTAAGATACATATTTTTAAGCGTTCCGGGAAAACACCTTGTTCAAACGATCTATTTAACAGTGTAGAAAGGGGCGTTGCTATGTTGGGAGCGATTTTATTATTATTTTTGTACTCAGCTCATCATATCCAGTAGAGTTAAATAAGATAAATGTTATATTGTTTTTAGCGAATGTCAATCCCTAATTCATATCTAGAGCCTGACGGTTCAGGGACTGACTGAAAAAATCACTTGTAAATATTAATTAATTAATGTCAATTTCCTGTTATTAAACTAAAAAAATTACTTACCAAGGGGCTGACAATGTGGCTGGATTAACACGTGTTTGCACAGCTACTGCCGTAAAATGGCCGCTGCAAAGGGATAATTTGTGGATGAATTATGTATGAAGGAGTTAGACTTGGAGAATGTATGGCAAAATATAAAGAAAGGTTTAGTGGATGCAGCTACCGAAGTATGTGGTGTTAGTAAGAGAAAGAATGAAAGGAAAAATAATACGTTATGGTGGGATGATGAGGTACGTATGGAAGTTGAAGCAAAGAAGAGAGCATGGCTAGATTTACTAGCAAACAAAGGCTGGTAATTCTAGCGGTACGAATGATGATATTGAAAGAAAAAAAGGCAGTCTTTAGACATCTTAATAAGAGAGTAAAAGAAGTAGTTGAAAGAAAAAAGCAAGAAAGAACGGATAAGAATGATAGAAGAATATCGGATAATTTCCAGCCAAATATTAAAATGTTCTGGAAACTTGTAAGAACTGCCAGGGGACATTCAAAACAACCTATGATGAATGCTATAAGAGACGAGAATGGCTATATTCTGAATGATGAAGTTTTGAGTTAAAAGAGATGGAAGGAATATTTTGAAAGCGTGTTTGTGAGTGAGGAGACAACGTGTGTACTAAGTGAAGTAGAAATTCCGAAAGAAGAGGAAATACCTCTTTCCTTTTCTTTCGGAATTTCTACTTCACTTAGTACACACGTTGTCTCCGAGCGAGATAAGTATAGGTGAAATAATGAAAGCAATGAAAAGCATGAAAGCAGGTAAGGCTGCCGGATATGATAGAGTTTCACTCGAAATGCTAAGGACTGGAGAGTAAGTGGTGGCAGGCCTGCTGTACACCTTGTTTAATTTATGCTGGGAACTGAAGCGGGTACCGGTAGACTGGTGCAAAGCCGTGATAGTCCTAGTATATAAAGGAAAAGGGTCGCAGCAGGACTGTAAAAACTACCGTGGCATCAGCCTTCTTAGCATTGTGGGAAAACTGTATGCTAAGGTACTGATTGAAAGGGTCATGAAAGAAACTGATGGAAAAATTTGGGATGTGCAAGCGGGATTTAGAAAGGGAATGGGATGTACAGATCAAGTCTTTTCCATGCGCATGATCGCGGAGAAGTTTCTGGCTAAAAACCAAAAGGTTTTTGTGCGTTCATGGACTTGGAAAAGGCCTATAACAGAGTGAATAGGGATGTGCTATGGCAAACACTGTACTCATTTGGGTTGAGCGCTGGCTTG